ATAATCGATCTGATGATCGGTTTCACTATTGCCTTTTTATATATTTTATATATTGTACTTGAAACCACATTAAGTTTCGCTTTCTACGTAAACCACAACGTACCGTAACATGCGGATTACCCGCATGGTATACCACGGCAATCTTGAACCCTAATCCGGAGAACGGATATAATTGATCGATCCACAAAATCAATATAACAATCAAGCAAAGAATTTAAAGGATACACAATTATTATCTTCAAGACAAAATGAAAGCAATTTACTTTTATTGAAATTATGCGATCACCTGTTTCTTTTAACACTTTTGCTAAATGCTGATAAAGAAAACAACCCTCTAATGACTATAATGCTCAATTTCTAAAGTCAAGAGACCTTTCTCTTATTTTTTATTATATTTAAATTTGCTCGCGCGCGTTTGAAAAACAGCAGCGAATGGACCAGGTAAAAGAAATAAAAATTAATAAAGGTCTCAAATGCAATGTTTAAGTAATGACAAACCAATGAAAAATTAATAAATGATATTTCACATTTTTTTAATGTTCTGTCATACTGTATACTATATTTCAATTCATGCTGTTTTGGCCAAGCACTGTCGCAGTTATGTCTTATTTGTCACCCCTCCTCTCATTATATTTATAAAAATTTAAAAGTCACTTCTCAAGCAAAACAACAAGTCATCGTGATATCAAAATGATGTTAAAATGACTCTAAAATGACATTAAAAGTTATTGTTCAATCATTTCCGATTCATTTTAATGTCATTTTAACATTATCGTGACTTGTTGTTTTGCTTGGATCAGCATACATATATTCCTCGATAAGAAAATATTTATACAATTATATATGAAATCTTGGACAAAATTTATGGTCTGCATTTGTATGGAAATATTTACAAAAACAGGTCAATAGAAATTGATCTTTCATAAAATATTAATAATTGATTGTGCAATTAATTTGAAAATAGTTTATTGGCAAAACAATAACATTCTGAAGAATCATCTCGGAAAAAATTTTTTTTTTAAATATGAGACAACATTATATTTCGAAGAATTTTACGTAAATCTCTCTCATTCACTAATAAAACTACAATAAAATATAAAATAAGTTTGATTAATTTTATTGAAGTGTATGGTAAAGTCTTTAAAATATTGTACATCACAACTATTTTCAGGGTAAATTTTAAGAGAAAATTCTTTCCGTGTTCTTATTATTAAATTATTGCGGAATTATTGCGAAATTTTCGTCAATTTATGATTATTGTATATCAATTTGTTTATTGGGATAATTCGAGTACATATTTTCTCCAAATGTAATGCCAGCGCGATCGATCGCCGATTGATTAATCGGTTCGCAAAAGAGAATCAGAGGAAGGAAATCGACTATAACGTCTGATCATAGTGATACACGTAAGACGCAAACCGGTTGGAGGTTGATTGGCGTACTTTCTTCGATACGTCTCTATACGTCGGCTATGATCACCTCGCTTTCGAGGTCAATGTCTAGGCCTGGTGTGTAAACCAGAGATGCGCGACTGACTCCTTTCGTGTAGGTACAACTTTCCTTGATGAGAATGACTGACGACGTTCGGAACGCAAAAATTTCTTGCCTCTCTACAACGTATCGTTTGTGCAGATAACCATGTAAAGCACACGGAAAATTTCAATTTATTATTAATAATTTTAATTATTGTTTGAAGCTTAAAATAAAATCAGAAGTGGTTTCGAGATGTTCAATATTACACATTTGATCGTTATCATCTCCAAGACCGGTTATTATAGCAGAATGATATCAGGTTATTAATTATTATGATTTTATTATGGTTATTCTTGTTGTAATAAAATAATGTTTATTCCGTATATATTAGTGACGAAGAGATATAAGTTGCATATAATTGAACATGGATCAACGAGCAACCCCTGGATCCTTATTAATTATATAGACACATCGGTCTCGTAATGCGCATTAGGTGTTTCTTTCCATTACGGTGATTTCTCCGTATCACGCAGAGCTGATATGTCCAATGCATCTGACAAATGAAGAAGAAGCGAAAGTAAAATCCCTCAAACACGGTGAATGTCTTCGCACGCGATTTTACAGTGTTAATGGCGTAATACCCGAGCGATTGCACCTATCAAGAATTCCTCGCGAATGGAAAGCTTTTTGTTAAAGTTAAATGCAAAGGTGCTTCCTGTTTAAATTAGAAGGAAACGAGATTTCAATTAAATGGGATTAAAATTTAAAAAGAAACTCGGTTTAAATTGGAGTAAAATCGCGGAGGAAAACGGTACTCCTATGACGCCGGCAGGTTCGTTAATCTAAACTCATAATGGGTGGGTACGAGCCATTTTGATCCATCTGCTAACTAAAACGCCTTGAATCGCGGTGTTGGTGATGCTTTCTACTGTCACATGTCATATGACTAAGTGTGCGATTGACCGCGTTTGAACGTCTCGTCGTCTCGTTAAATGTCGTAAGATGACGGGCCGAGCAAATTTTGCACCTCTTCCCGCGGTTCGTCAAAGCATATTAAACAAGAAAATTGTTTATGCGAATTACTGAATGCGACCTCAATCGAGCGCTGCTCGTAATTCCTTTGTTTGAAATTGTCGATCATCGCGACGGGAAGTATTTTACAAGATACCGCTTTGCAATCATTGCTGAATGATTACTACATTTTAGCCTTTTGGTTGGCGACTTTGTAACTCATTTTACATTCAAAATGGCAGAATAAAAAAAGGATATAAGAGTCAAGCGCGGAAATAAATGTACAGATATAGTAAATTAAATAAGCAATTTACTAAAATGAAGAGTACATACATGTGTCAGCTTTTTAACTACCTTTCAAACGTAGATACAAGCAACAACCGAGTTACAGAGACTAACGAGTCGTTCTTATGTTGTGGAGAGTCATTTCCAGAACATTGTGTAACTCACAATCAGTTATTACCAGTATATACGCTCTGAAGATGATTAAAAAATGAGCCGAAACATGTAGTGTATATCTTTAGTTTTAGTAAAAGTGCTATATTTAACTCATCTCATCTCAAGAAAAACAAGAAAATCATAATAATGTCACATTGATCGAATTATGACCAGTGATATAAATTCGATCAATATGACGTTAAATTGACATTATTTTAACTTTCTTCTCCTTTGAAGTCATTATTTTGACTTTGTTATCCTTGGGATTAATTTTCATGCTTGACTCTTATGCCTTTTTCTAATCTACTGTTGTTTTAATTATCAAGAGTCTTCTTATTCCATTCTACATTAATCAAATAGGAAACATAACTAAAGTCCGACCGAAATTTCGGTTTCGCCCAAGCAGAACAACAAGTCACAATTAAGGTTAAAATGACATTAAAATGAATCGAAAATGATTGAAAAATGACTTTTAATAATCATTTTGGAATCATTTTGACATCATTTTGATATCATAATGATTGTTGTTCTGTTTAGGCGGTTTTGGTCAGTTTCGGTAAAAAATCAGGGTTTCAATTTGATTTCAGTTTCGGCCGAAGTTAAAAGAAAATTTCGGTGGATAAACCGACACTGTACAAGTTGCAACGCGCTGATGAGCGTTCAAAAAACAACTGCTCGATTTTAATTATTAATTCGTTGATTAAGCTTAAGACAATTTGAGTACAAACTAATAATAACTGTGATTTGATTTCTTTAAAAGTTGAAGATGCAATATTATTACATTACTATAGTTAGATATTTTAATAAAATCTTGTTTTTTAAAGAGTGTATAAATTTGTCATTTTTAAAAATCATACGGTCTCTGTAAAATTAATCTAAAAATATTGATTTCGACTCTGACAAAAAAAATGTGACTCCGTTAGCTTCTCTCTCTCTCTCTTTTTTTAGCAAAACTTTTTTTAGTAAGACTTATCTAATTGTAAGTTTCGGTTTCGTTTTCGGCCGAAATTGAATTACAACCGAATATTCGTTTTCGGTTTCGGCCAGAGGTCAAAATGTGGTTTCGATTGAAGACTCTAAACACAACGCACGCTACGGTAATTAACAATCTCACGGACCTGCGAGAATTTTCGAATTGTTCTAGGATATTGTTTATGCATCTTTAGAGCTCGCTACGCAGCTATAATGAGTTGATGACCGAGATGTTAAAAGTAAGACACATGAACAAAAGGGGATATAAGTCGGTCGATAGAGCGTAAACCATATAGCTAACGAGTCATTCACGAGCACATGACAAGTGACAAGTCTTAGCGGTATAGTCTTCATATTCAGATGCGGTTAAATAACCGTGAAAAGTTTTGCGTTTGTTTTAATTGGCACAAATTGAACTCGAATTTAACAAATATTTCGAAATCATTTTCACAATATAATGAGAAAAGCATGTTTTGTATTCGAGCAAATTTTCTCCGTGTTCGCATAAGACTGATGGATAACAATTTGACTTGAATGAATATCGCAATATAGCAGTTCAAAAAATAATTAGTTTCAAAAAGATTAAAATACTTCAAGATCTTTCATCAACCAGATCCGACACGATTGCATGCTTATACAATTTCAGCAAAAATCATTGCACGAAAAAAATAGTTGTGCGTCATTTTACAACGATCCACGTTAGACAAGAAAATCAATATGCTATTAAAAATAAAAAATTATACACTTCTCTCTCTCTCTCTCTCTCTCTGTCTCTCTCTGAGCCTAGAATAAACAAGAGTTTTATTTGCTAGGTTTAGATCATCTGTCAAATACTTAACGATTTAAAAATTTTTCTTGATATAATCGATCTTTGCAATAGACGATATTCGATTTTAATTCGATATCTATTTTGATCAATAATCGAATCATTCAAAGCATCTTTTGGCTTGAATTGCACTTTACAACAAAAAAAAGATTTAAATCGGTCCATTATAACATGGAGTAGCATATATTTCATGAGAAATTAGCACGGCCGATCTTTCGAGTATCATCTTTATTCTAGTCACAGCAACAAAACCATCTGGCGTGGATCATCTATCTCTTACCCAAGAGTATCGTTTTCCGCTGATTTCTCCGACGTGATTATAAAGACGATCACGCGTGACTCTCTATTTTGTGGCGACGACCCTTTCTGCCGGTGCCGCCGCGATTACGACAACCAGAGAGTATCCCGTTGAGATACGCGAAAGCTCTCATTCAGGAGGGTCCGTCTATTGACGAAGTAAGCCAATTCGCCGGCGATCTTAGTAAAGCTATCGCAGTGCAGCTCGTTGCTCAGGGATTGCTGTCCATGTCGAAAATCCATACGCGAGTACGGACACCATCACACGAACACAGATCCTCGGTGTCGCCTGGTGGTCCCTGGGCAAACCCACGAGGGCGGAATCGAAAGTAATGTGGCCGCCGGCGCGACACGATCTATCGTTCCTGTCAAGCGATAATAATTAGCTTTCACGTATCTCACCACTTCACTTCTCGTCGCCGCGTTTTCGCGCGCGTTGTCCTCGAGGATGGAAAAACACTACGGAGCAACGCTCCCTGGCCATTCCTCCGATCGCGGAGGGTGCAGGCGCCGGCCTGCCGCCATCATAGAAATCAATACAACCCTACAACAGGAGAGCTTGAGCACCTCTGAGTATACGGAATTCCCTCGAACGGGACAGTCCGTCACTTTGCACCGATTGCGAAACGATGAGCGAGGATGAGAAATTGTCTCAAGGTTTATAATACGCGAATAGCACAATTCATTGGTTAAACATTGACATGCATTGGATCAATATTGTACCAATAAATTATGCTACTAGGGAAATTAGTTATTGAGAGATGAACTTAATTAGTCACAGCCGGCTAGATGATAATCAGAAGCCATTGATCTTCCTTTCATCCATACAAAGGTCCTGTAGAAATAAATCTTTTTTTATTTTCACTTCTTCGCGGCCCATACTTTAATAGACCAAGCTAAGTCGTCAAAATGTATTTGCCGAAAAAAAATAACGAGGATAATAGAAAATGGATGTACAAGATGACTTTCTATGTGCTTTATCTTTTTTGACCGCATCACCTAGTGTCCGCTTTACCGGTCCACCCACACAATGTAAGATTCTTTCAATGGTAATAGAAGTTTACATTCGAAAACAAAGTACAGATTATATCCTTGGCAAAATTCTTCTCTCTATATTAACGATAATATCATCGATATTAAAAGCCACACTGCTAAAGTTAACTGGAGTTTGTCGAATTTTCTATTTCTTTTTAGTTCTACCCTTAGAAAGAGATACATAAAAATTCTCTCAATTTGCTTTAATGGTCTTCTATATTTCGTATTTAAACTACTCTTTCAAAATTTAATGACTTCTCTTTTAACGCATGAACAGATATATGAAATTGTAGTTTTTTAAATAATTGATTTTTTAAATCGAGTTTAAAATTCGTTTAAACAATTATCTAAAAATGGGAAACTTCAGAATTTATATTCACGTTCTATACACTTGCTATTGTACCAAGCAATGATTAGAAGCTGACAAAGAAAAAATATAAAAAAAAAGCAGAAACATATTAACCTAGAGTATGCTTTTATATATTCAGTTTAAGAAAAACTTAAAAAAAAAAAACATTTTGAGAAAGACTATGCATATTCATTTCATGCGGAAAGAGGAAATACTTGTAAGGAATCATGTCAGAAAATGAATGCAAATACTTTTTACACAGTACAGTTTACTTAGTTTTTACATATGAATCTTGCACTTTGGATCGGAATTACTGTAATTCCGATCCAAAGTGCAAAATTCGTCTGTAAAAAGTATTTGCATTCATTTTCTGAGATGATTCCTTATCTTCTTTTTTCGCATGAAACAAAATATGGGGCCTCTCTCAAAGTGTTTTACTGAATGTATAAAAAAACAATAAGTATATTCTCTCTAATTATAAAAATACATTACAACGATATTTTTGTTTTTGTGAAATAATCTCAAAGAAGATAACAGACGATCGGAGAAGAAAAGTACTCTTTTTTATTTATCACATATCTTTATCCTTGCATTTTTGTACAAATAATACACGATCGAAAATAAATCACGCAGCCTCCATCTCTTCGGCGGATCTAAAAGCATCGCCTCCTTCCGCCATCCTGTCGCTATGCCCTTGAAGAAGAGAGATGAGCAAAGGAGGAACAGGAGGTCTCATCGAGGCCGACGATCGAGGTCGGGTTTTAGACCCGCGTGACATCTAAATGGACGGTACCGTTGCTCAGGACCAGGAGGAAAGGGAAGGACACGCGTGTTGCCGTGGCGAACCGCAATCTCGCGTTTCCTCCTCGATCATTTGCGAAGCCTGCATCGGTACCTGCTATATCCATAGTCCGAACCAGACACCTTATACTGACCCACTCTCACTCTCACCTTTCTCTTTCCCAAAAAAAAATTCTCCTCAGTGGCTCTGTCTTCTCGCGCGCGTTTGTCGAAATGAGAAGATATACACGCGTGAACGTACACGCACCTCTCGAATCTCTTCTCCGCAGAACCATTTTCGTGTGCAAATGCACGAATCGTTGCAAAATCAACGTTTCGTACAATGCGCGTTTATTCGCGCTGCCTGCAATTTTTTCGGTCGGCATCTTTGCTTTTTGTCTCTTCAATATATAATTTATATGAATATATAATTTACCTCATTTTAAATGTAAACATTTTTGAGGATTTTAAGCAATGGCGAACAGACCTAATGATAATTAAATATCCGGGATAAAACGCACAAGAAATGCTTGAACGGAGGAACGGCACATTTAAATTTGCAAACATTAAAAAATGTAAATTGTTGATACATCTCATTAGCAAACCGGTGTTAAAAAATAGTATGACACACATTAAAAATTCCTCGCGCGCGAATATATGTATAACTTCGACCGCGTGATGCAAATAGTGCATCTACGCAGAATAGTAAATCGTTACGCAATTCACGATGGATAATTACAGCAAACACAAAAGCGGATGACGATACCTGTAATTGGACTAGATTGCGACAGTAAATGATTGATAATTGACTAATTGCCGTGCCGCCCTGGACAGTGCAAGGGATGTCGAAGACGTCGTTATCAGTTGACAATACGTTCGGCTGAGATGAAGCGTGCACTTCCAGTAGTTTTACTTCACTTATGGTGGAATTCTCTCCCGGAAGTACGTTCCTCGAGGTAAACGACTTCGTGCTCCTTTAAAAGCCATTTTCGCCTCATTACGCACAGCGCTTTGTTTTGTCGCGGAGTCTTTTATCGCTTTATAGGCAAAGATAGGCGAAGAAAAATTGCACGCAGCAATTTTTCATCTGAGACGTGGAAGGGAATAAGCTCGATTAGTTTCTTTCCCAGACGAGTTCAAAATTGAGACATGCAGAGACGTCTAAGACATTTTTGCGAGAACCGTCTAAAAGAAGTTTATATTCCGTTTCTAAAATCTAAACTTTGTGTTATCTGGGTTTCTTAACATATATATTTCTATTATTATTAATTATTATTAATAGAAAGAAACAAGTAAAAAGTTCTAGGCTGAATAAGCGAGTCGCTGTTTCTTAGACTCTGCCAGATAGAAAAATTTAAAGTTAACGCGGTCTATAAAAATCCTTACGATTAATGCTGATATACATATATTTATGTTAATGTTATGTTAACGTTTATTTATTTGTTTGTTCTTACTTCTTAATTTAATAATAACGCTTAAGAGCAATTTTTTGCATACTTCTCGTGAAAAGAGAAGAAACAAGTTTTTTAAATATACCCTCATTTGCTTCTCCATAGACAGAGACACGATATCAACTCGCTAACTTTTCTCTCGCGCGATCAAATAAGTCTAATAAAAAAAATAAATAGTAGTTTTCGACTGTGTATGTAAAATCTTATAGGATTAAAGTATACTCTTTAATGTAATGAGAATTTCCGATGAGTCAGTTAACCAAAGATATAATACAATGCAAATAAAATAACAAGCGTTAAACAAACTGCGTTAACAATAAACGGATGAAACTTTAATGATGATGACGGAATTTTCCTCGCAGCTTGTTCAGCGAAGATGTCAACAATTGCACTATGACGTCGAGGCTAATTCTGCCAGAACATTATGTTAAAGGTAATATACCGCTTACCAGGACAAGACGCTTGCATTTACGTTTCTTGTGCGAATAATGAGCTATATATAATAAAATTTTTTGCAGAAATTAGACCGCAGTCGGGTGCACCTGTAATGGTAAACTTCAACATTTTAGTGGTTGACATTAATTCTATCAACGTTGAAGATATGGACTTTCGGTAAATTAAATAAACTTCTTTCGAGTCATAATCAAGAATGAATTGAATAAATATAATGTGTATAATTCCCTACTTAATTTAACTCTTATATATAACATATGTTTTATATATTATATTATATTTAAAAACTTAATCTTTTGAGTTGTATCACTTCTGAAAAGTAAGAGAATATATATAAAAAGATATTTGTTTAATTTAAATTAATCAACGGGATATATTTAATTTAAATTAAAAAGATAAAATAGATGTTTAAAATCTGGATATAAAAGATTGTAAAATTACAATCGCGTGTTTTTATTAGTGTAGACATGTTCGTCAGTCAAAGTTGGATAGAATCTCGACTGAATATGTCTGAAGATATTTTCGAGGAAGGCGACGATTATGTCATACTTCCTCCGGAATTTTTCGATAATCTTTGGCAACCGGATCCATATTTTTTAAATTCAAAAGTTTCCGGTAAGCCATACTTGTCTTCATGTTAAATTGGGCAGTATTCATAGTCCGTTCTTATTTCAAGACTGTCTTAAGTAATGTCTTAGGACACTAATACGGCCCTCTGATTGGTTCGTGACTTCTTAAGACTGTACTTAAGACAGTCTTGAATATAAGATTTGATTATGAATACCGGCCATTGTTACGTATTAATAATTTTTCAGAGATTGCAACTTTAAATCACAAATTCTCATTGGTCACATTATACCGGAATAAAACTATTAAATATTCTGCCCGAATTAACGCTATTGTTGCCTGTCAAATGGAATTTCAATTGTATCCGATGGATATTCAAATCTGCCCAATTTATATAGAAAGCTGTAAGTAAAGCTAAAAGGTCATGGCATATAAAAAAACTTAAGACGTACTGATTTTCTGATTATGTATGTAAGATGTTTTGTTTTTGTACATTGAAAATGACCCGATCGGTGTCGAAACGTTTGATTATTGTATATATATACGTTTATTAAAGATCTTATATTGTAGTTGGCTCGTTTGCCCTTGTTTTATTTATTGATTTATTCTATTTGAGCCATATTAACATTTAATTATTTTAAGACGTAAGATTTAAGCAGTAAGCGAATCGATCAATTACAATAGAGACCGTAAGATCATAACGTAAGCACTACCGAATCCAACATGTTGATTTCCTTACCACTTAAGTCTCACGTCTTAAGTTTTTGTATGTGCCAAGGCCTTAAAGCTTAAAATACAAATGCAAATGCGAATTCCAAAAACAATCTGTAATACCTAAACATATACTCTTTTATAAAATTATTTTTAGAACATAACAGCAG